GGCAATCGTTTCGTCATCTGATGACGTGTCGGCGTCGGTTCCGGAGCCGAAGTCAGACTTAACGGGTTGCCCCGCTGAGCCTACAAGGGTAGTGGTTTGTGCAGGGGCCGCCGTTGCCGACGGTCCCTGGTATATGGCCACGGAGTCTTGCGACCCCGGAGTCTTGCGACCCCGTAGCCGGACCATCATTTTGGGCTAATAGCGCGGTGGTCTCCGTTGGTTGCGGATCGTCATTCCAGACGTTTTTTGCAGGTTGCCCTGCATTTGCTTCAGCATGAAAGGTTGCGGCACGGTGACCGTGGCTAAAAATACCACCAATATTGCCAAGGGTTCGCTCAGCAATGTGAGCATATGACCTCATGCGTTCAAGTAGAGAATCAAAGTATTGTTGATTCCTCGGCGTTTGGTGGTTGAGTGGCTGCAGGAATTGTTGTGCACGCGACGTCCCCACTCTTAAGGGTCTCTGAAACGGCAGCCTCGTAGCGGGCTATCTCGAAGCGTGACAATGTCTGGTCGATCCGCTCTCCCGCATGGACTCGGAAGTCGATGAGAACCGTTCCCGAGTTAAGTTAGCGTTCCTCCTCTAAGTTCTCAAACTTCGTGTTCAGGAAGAACATGATGTAGGTGACGCCATCGGTATGACGGCCACCAATCTTAACGCCAAAGTTGGTAACGGCCGGGGGGACTCTCATGGCTATGGTCCGTGCGAGGCCCCCTAGACCACGCTGCAGTGCTGCAGCCTGTTGGGAGGGCGTCATAGTACCTGTGGTCACGTTGATCCAGGCATGTACCTCTCGAACAAATTCATGAAAAGTACCCGACAGGCGGGGTCCCAGTGGGGGCCTGTTGCTCTTATGTCGTCTCCGCCACGCATGTGTCCCACAGCACGCCCGATAGCAACCCACATAAGACCAAATATACTAATACCAATCCAATGGCCCCGTAGGTCGCGGTCAAATGTTGGTGGCTGAGGCTTGCGGTGTTCTGTTGTAAGCCTGCGTCGGGGTGGAGGTGGTGCAATATCATATCGCATGTTGCCATGCATGGCATGTTCGAGAAAAAATCCAATTGGAGTAGGTGGGTGGACTTCAGGAGTGTAGTAACGCAGGGATGTAGGACTCGAGTAAGAGGCCTCCGCGACAGCAGAAGTAGCACTGCAAGTGTCCTTGCTGTTGTGCGTAGTTATGTAAATTCCTCCGCGCAAACCCACTGCATCCGGATGTTCCACCATGTCAGTAGTCCACCAGATAGTGCCGTGGATGGTAAGGAGTAGAGCAAGAACTGACCACCATAGGCCAGCTCCGCTACCAAGTTTGAAGGGGGCCGGAAGGCCACCCAGAAGCTTTGCCTTAGGCGAAGCGCAGCTCCAGCTCTGTTGTACCGTAGCAACGATAGTCCCAATCGGAGGAGGTCGTCGCGGGAGCGACGGGCCATCTCAAGCGATGAATGTTTTCGGTCTCGATGGCAAGTAGTATGCATCGCAATGAGGCGCAGTCATATGTTGGCGGCTGGCCGCTTGAACACAAACAGCCGCGGACAAACGCTCGCTATCTCTCGCCCTTGTCCCAGCTCACTTTAGAGTAGGGGCCATGACGCCCGTCATGCCCCAAGCAATACAAACACATTCTCCGAAACGCCCACATCCGTTTCAAAACCTACGAAAACAACTCATTTTGCAATATTTTCCCTGTCTGCTTCCGCTTCTGAGGCCTCAATAGGGCTCCAAGAAAGCCAAAGACGACCGCAAGAGAGGTCCAACAGGGCTCCAAGACGGCCCCAATTGAGCCCCAAAGATGACTTGTCGAACTCCCGTGGGGCGATGCTGTTAAGGGGTCCTGCGTTTTTGTAGGCAGGTGCATTCAAAAATACAAGATGCTTGAAGCATGTTGGCTTTTCGGGGCGTGATTGCGAGGCTTTGGGGCCAAGATGGATACAACGCGGCAACAGATGACTTCAGATGGCCACCAAGACGACGCAATGAACCCAGCGCGACCCGAATTAAGGGTAAGATTCCTGATTAATCGAGTACGTGGGCAAGGAAGACATTACTTTGCATTGCATTGCCTTGATTCGACTGGCATTGGTTTGCGTTGCTTGGCGTTGCTTGGCGTTGCTTTGCATTGATTCGCATTTCTTTGCGTTGCTTGGTATTGGCCTGTATTGCTATGCATTGCTGAACATTGACCTGCATTGCTGTGCCATGCTGTGTATTGCTTGGCATTGCTTGGCATTGGATTGCTTTGCTTTGCATTGACCTGCGTTGCTTGGCATTGCTTGGCGTTACTTTGCGTTGCTTGGCAGTGCGTGGCGTTGTTTGCCGCTGCTTGGCGTTGCTTGGCATCGCGGTGCATTGTGGTGCAGTAGCGTGCATTGCTTGGCATTGCTGTGCACTGATTGGTATTGCTTGGAATTGCTGCGCATTCCTGTCCATTGCTTGGCATTGCTTGATATTGCTTGGCATTGTACTGCATTGCTTGGCATTGCTGTGCGTTGCTTGGCGTTGCTGTCAACTGCTTGCCATTGCGTGGCATTGCTTAACATTGCATTGCGTTGATGTGCATTGCTTTGCGTGGAATGGTATTCGCTGTCCATTGCTTGGCATTGCTTGGCGTTGCATGCAATATCGCTGCGTTGCTTGACACCGCTGTGCATGGCTTGGCATCGCTGTGCGTTGCTTCGCGTTGCTGAGCATTGCTGCGCATTGCTGGGCATTTCTTGGCATAGCTCTGCGTTGCTTGGCATTGCTGTGCATGGCTGTGCATTGCTTGGCTTTGCTGAGCATTCCTTGGCATTGCTTGGCGTTGGTTGGCACTGCTGTGGCATTGTTATGGCAATGCTGTGGCAATGCAATGCATTGCTGTGCATTGCTTCGAATTGGCATTGCTTCGAATGCCAAGCAATGCCAAGCAACGCCAATCAAAGCGAAAACATTGCTGTGCATTCCTTGGCATTGCTTTGCATTTCTCGGCGTTTGCTTGGCAATGCTTGACAAGCGCACAACCAAGCAACTCGGGCAACTGGGCAACCTGGGCAACCCGGGCAACCTGGGCAACCTGGGCAACCCGGGCAACCTGGCAACTGGGCAACCTGGGCAACCCGGAGAAGGCCGACACAGCCAGGCAACCAGGCAACCAGGCTGGCCAGCGCAGGCCTCGCACCTTCTTTAAGAAAGTAGAAGTCCCTCGCCGAGCGCCACTAGGGAATCTGGCCCAAGTATATACGGCCTTCAAGGTGTATCCAAGAGGCCCCAACATGCCCCCAAAGCGATTTCAAGTTGCTCGGCCACCAAGAGCCCAAACTCATTCACAAGCAGTGTGCTTGTCAATGCTTTGTTTCTTCTAATTTTCGCCTGCGATTGGATTCTAAGGCCTCAAGACTGATTCAGGATCGAGCAACAAATCTCGAAGAGGAGCCCAGACGGCCGCCCCAGGAGGGCCACAAGAGGTGACTTTTCTGGCTCCAGAGTGGCGACGCTGTTAGGCCCGCCCTGTATGTTATCGATATTTTCCGTATGGCTCCGAGAGTGCGACCAAGGTTACCAACAAGACCCCAATATGGCCCCGACTATATATCCCTAAACTTGAATCAGTAAGCTTCCAAGCAACTCTTAGAGCGAAACACCCTCGAAGGCCTTTATAATTGATGCTTGTTGTCAACGAGCCGCGAACGCACACATGGTTCACTACTAGATCTGCTCACATTGATCCCCCGATTTCATCCCCTCACCTCGTCCTGCTCCTCCGCCTTTTTCTCTTTCCCCTTCTTTCTTCCTCATCCTCATTCCTGCTCCTCCTGCTCCTCCTTCTCTTGCTCAACGCTCCTCGTCCTCTTTGGCATCCCGCCCCTTCCTCATCCTTCCTCCTCTGCCTTCTCCTCATTCGACAGGGCCGCGAGGGCATATGTGGTGTGTGCGGACTGATGTAAAACTTGGGTTTGACGGCTGCCCCTCCTCCCTGTTTTCCTGCATGCCCCTACGCGTCCTGGATCAATGCAACTCGCTGGGCATAGTTTCTGGATGGGCTCTTGGAGACACGCGAGGGGTCTGGACTTACATTCGCAGAGAACGCAATTCAACCCCTCCTCTTCCTTCGCCTCGTCCTCCTCTTTCCTCCTTCTCCGCATCCTAATCCTCCCCCGTCCTCAGCATATCCACCCTGGATTTGTTCGGATCTCAATTGGCGACTGCTGCCACAAAAAGCTGAGGTCTCAAACGGAAGGGACGGTATGATGCTTCACGCAGAAAAAGCACGAACCATATCATGAACACATCTTGCCTTTCCCACCAAGTCCAAGCCAGAGGTGGAAAGCGGCCAGAGAAATCAGATTGCAGAGGATAGTCCAGTCTGGGCACAGGCCCTGTCTCTCAGAGAAGCTTCTGTCCCTCAGAGAAGGTTCTTCGAGTGCCCATGAAGTGCTCTTCTCCCACCAGTGTGATAAAGTGTGGCACTAAAAAACATGTGTCGCGAGTACGCTGTGAACTTCGCCTGCAAAGTAATGAGACCCCCCTCTGTCACTCTCTCTTTACTTCTCGTCCCCTTCATTTGCGTCAGTCCGCCCGCAAATGGACTGCTCACATCTGGGTCTGCCAAAAAAACAATTCATTTTATGAAGCCCTCGACGCCGAAAGTCTTCTCCTTTGCGCATGCAAACCAATTCTCAAAGCTGGGCATCACTTCAGGCGATCCTGCGCAGAAATGGCCCAAGGCGCCGAAGTACAGTCAGGTTGCTGAAATAATGAACGCGAGATAAGGAACGAAGCCCCCTTTCAGCCCCCACAAAGCGCCTGCGTGGACGAGGAACACTAGAGAAGCAGGCATGGAAGGACCTAAGGGACATCGAGCCCCTTCCGAACCCAAGCTGTTCCTTATTTCAGTGTCTCGTCGGTATGGGCAGGGGCCTCGACAACGAGGAGCCTGTGGCCTCCGAGAGCCGCATAGGGCCTCGGCCATTTCCGCGTCGGCTCGCCTCCAAGAGAGCCCGGAGAGCTCCCCGCAGGGTGCCTGTGCTGCTGGGGCACCGCGGTCGAAGCAGGCGAGGACTGCGCGCTGCCTGTGCCCATCCTCCTCCTCCTCCTCCTCCTCCTCCTCCGAATGCTCCTGCTCCTCCTCCTCATCATCATCACAAGCATCAGCATCAGCATCAGCATCAGCACCATCACAATCATCAGACTCATCATCATCATCATCATCATCACCATCATCATCATCATCATCATCATCATCACCAAAATCATCAACACTATCAAGAGCAACAGCGCCATCACCGTAATCATCATCAATAACCGCACCATCATCATCAGCAGCAGCATCACCAACATGACCATAATTACGATCATCGGCATCATCATCCGCATCGTCATCATCAGCAACAACAGCATCATCATCATAATCATCATCAGCATCATCAGCATCATCATCAACACCATCATCACCATCATCATTTTCATAAGCATCAGCATCATCATCATCATCATCATCACCATCACCATCAACAACACAATCACCATCGTCACCATGATCATGATCATGATCATCAACACCATCATCATAATCATCATCACCACCATGTCCGTACTTAACATCATCCTCATCATCACCACCAACACCATCACCATCATGATGATCATCAACATCATTATCAACACCAACACCATCATCAGCATCAGCATCATCATCATCATCACCAACATGACCATCATTGACATCGTCGTCATAATCAACATCACCATCATCAACAACATCAGTAACATCACCACCATATCAACTTGAACGTCAACCGCTATGGACAATGACAATCGTATCACTAAACACCCGTGCTGCCAACAGCCATTTCAAAGGGGGTGCAATCAAGTATACATCGCCGAAGGATCTTGACCGCCAACTTAAAGTTTCGGGCCGCTGGTCGGTTCCGATGTCTCGGAGCCTTGGGAATGTGCATGCCGTCGCCCACGTGCGCCCCCCTCGGTGCTTGACCAGAAAATATCGAAAGAAAAACATTGTACGTGCAAGACGAATTATACAAATAAGAAAACGAGACACGATAAAACAAACACGCATCTTTTCCACGCTCATCCTCCCCTCCCTGCCACTCCAATGCATCCCCCTCCCGTCACGTCCACCCCCTCCCTTCCGCTCCTCCTCACATTTCCGACCGCCTGGAACGCTGGACCATGCCGACGATCAGGTACTGCCGTCTAGCTTGGCGGCAGGAAAAGATCGATGATGCTACGATGAGCATGACGACGAGGCGGACCCGTAGCCGCGGATGTGTCCCTTCACCCGCGGGCTCGAAAGCGGCGCACCATGCGCCGCAGCGGCGGCAGGAGGGTGCCATCCAGGGTTACGGGGTAACGCACCTGGGGGGAGAGTGGGCAGCAGCAGCACCACGGCAGTCTCGCATGCCGCGGGACGGCTCACAACGCCCTGGACAAGGTCGCGCACGTCCGGCGCAAGGGGGCGCAGCGGGAGAATCCGCATTACCACGGGGCCCGTGGGGCCAGCGCCACCTGTGGTCGGTGGAGGTCCGTGCTCGGCAGGCGCGCGGCGCGCAATTCGAAGCGTGGCCTTTTCCTCCTCCTCCACCTCCTCCTCCTCTTCCCTATCCCAAGCTCACCTGCATTCGCCGCGTTGCGCGCTGCGCCCGCGCGCCTGATGTGTCGAGGCCTGCGGAAGGCCTCAAGGCCCAACGTCTCGAGTGAATCGCGCCACGCGCGACGGCACCTAAACCCTCCTTGAAACGGGATGTACTACTCCAAGAAGGTTCAATCAACACCGCTCCGACTTGTGAATTATGTATGGTCTTGTAACCGGCTGATGAGGGGAGAGAAGGTCTTTCCTAAAAAAGAATTGAAATTCGGGTTTGGCTCGGGGTAGGGGGGCAATCATAAGTTCGAGTTCGAAACCCTCAACAACCCAAAGTTCGAACTAAGTTCAAAACGGTCTCCTGGCACAACGACAACTTTTCTTCCAAACTTTTGAACTTCTGTTTTTTGAACTGTTGAACTTGTTCGGGATGTGTTTCGGCTTTTTTTTACTGAAGAATCACACATCTTTGATTGAACAGTTGAACAGTTTTCGAACTTTTTCAATTTTCCTATGGGTTGCTCGTACGTTTTCCTCGCCGCCTAGCGCGATCCAAACCTTTGAATTTGTTTCTCGCCGCCGAACTTTTTCCGATTTTTTTGATCGCCGCCGAACTTTCCCTAATGTTTTCCGAGCTTGAAATATTCTAACATAAGGACCGTCCGCACCCCCTCAGCCTGTTACAATTCTGATTCACCCACTCGTCCAACTGCACCGCGCCGCGCGACCTGTGGCGCGCGCCCCGATCCAGGATGACAAGCGCGATGCCCTGCGACGGAATCGGCCAACCATCGCACCCATGCCGCAGGCGCCTCCGCGCCATCAAGGCCCTCGCCGGAAGCGAGAAGAGCTTGGGAGATGTGCGTGCGTCCTTGGAGCAACATGCCACTGCGAGGTTGCCCGCGGCCGCGCGCGCAGCACATGCCCGAGTGCGCGACGAATGCCTTGTCACGTAGAAGGGCCGAAGGGAACAGTGCATTAGGCCTCTAATTCAATTTGAAAACAACTCTCGCGCCGCTCTCTCGTAGGCCAAATTCGTCTCGCTGCCGCCCGTGCGGGTGACCCGCGTGTCGTTGAACTTCAGTTCGCCGTTGGGGGCGTTCGCCCGCGCCAATTCACCTCTGCCCTTCAGAAGCGGCGGCCGAAACCCAGCCCGCGCTGCGCTAGTCGCGCGAACGATCTTGCAGTGGAGAGGCAATTTCGATGACGCCCAGCTCCTCGCGGCGCCTCCGCGTCTGCGGTCTGCCGTCGGTCGAAGGGAGCGCCGCGTGCCCGCGCCGTGCAGGATGCGGCGACGGTCAGTTACTCGCGCCCCTCGGTGTTTCAGTCGTTTGATGTAAGCGCTAAGCTTTCTCGGCCCCCAATGATGAACGGGCCCCCTCTCTCTCTGCATCTGCCCTTGCCCTGTTCTGCTCTGCTCTGCTCTGAACTTTTCTGCTCTGCTCTGCTCTGCTCTGCTCTGCTCTGCTCTGCTCTGCTCTGCTCTGCTCTCTCTCTCTCTCTCTCTATATATATATATATATATTTATGTATATATGTATATATATAGGTGTTTCCTGTTTTTCTTTTTTTTGTTCTCTTTTTTTCTCTCTCTCTCTCTCTCTCTCTCTCTCCAACAGACTGAACGCAACTTGGCGCATTTTGCCAAACGTCGGAATGCATTGTGTTCAAAGAGGTACCCATTGGAATCCAGGTTGAAGCTGTTCGACTCTGCTGTCACGCCGTCTGCGCTGCACGCGCGCTCCACCTGGGCGTTAGAAATGTCAGGCGCACAGAGAATCCAGACGACGCGGAGACAAATCATGCGCGACATCTTCCAAGCGCCAGGGACATATTCAGAACCATGAGTGCGGTATGTGCGTCGGTCCACAAGATTTGTCTTCTCGCGCGCTTCTCGGTTAGGGACAAAGGACTGGCTCCTGGCGCAGACGCAGCGCAAACAAGAGGCCTACAACAACTTGCAGACGCGGGATGTCAGCAAGTGGAGCAGCAGACTAACTACTCTCGTGGAAGCCATGGTTTCGGACTATAGCTCACCGCCGACAGGGGAGACCTGTCCTGCGTTGGTCAGAAGATTTCAAGTGACCTGCCGTCAAGAGTATCGGTGGGCCCATGCCTGGAAATTGCGAAAAAATGCGAGAGCGGGAGCACTGGCGCTGTCATCATCCTCTACGTCGTTACAATGGTGCCTCTTTCAGGCCCGCCCGGGCGCTCTTAGCGCCCCCTCTTGCAGCCGGGCGACGGGCTTCTCTTCTCTCTCTGTCTCCTCTCTCTATATATAGATGCGTGTATATACATACACACACGCACACACGCACTCACGCCCCCTTGGAGGCTCGAGCTCAAGCTGGGGGTCGGCATCAGTTGGCCCGAGCCCAAGCACTCTAGAGGCCCACCCCAGAGGCTCACAAGATCCCGGAAACGCCCGGATCCTACGCCATGGCCTGCTCCGAGCGTCGTTGATCAGCGCGGAGCTTCCACGCCTCGCGGGACAGGCCAACCAGGCCCGACAGCGCACCCAGCGCCCCGCCGCTGCACAGCAACAGCATGCGCCGGCCTGTCGAGGCCATCTGTCCGGCGACGACGGCCACGGCTCCGATCGCCATCATGGCTGCCCAGCCCAGCGCGCGCCGCCAGCTGCCTGGCGCCCCCGCGGGCGGGCCCGTCGGCGGGGCCGTCGTCGCCTCCTTGACTACCTACCAGACCACCCCAACCCAACCCGAAGACCCTAATTTCGGGTTGGGGGGGGTAAGGGTTCCACATGTGTTTTTTCGATGTTTCCCGACCCCCCCCCACTGGAAATCGAGGGTAAATCTGAGCCTTCGGGTTGGGTTGGGGTGGTTTGGTGGGTGGTGACTCCTCGGCCCCTGCCTCCGGGGCGAGCGCCAGATCGGGAGGTCCGCTCGCGCCTGCGCAGCGCCAGCGGGCGAAGGCCTCCAAGCTCCTGGTGTCGGGCTCGGAGGCGGGCGGACACGGTATGGCGCCCGCGGAGGCACCTCTATTTTTTTGTCAGGGAACCATGGTGCCTTTAAGCTGACATGTTACGGAGTCCCACCCTGCAGGCCCTCTCGCTGACCACTGAACATACACGTTTGCAAGCGCACTCACCCATGTGTATGTATGTATGTATGTATGTATGTATGTATGTATGTATGTACGTACGTACGTACGTACGTACGTACGTATGTATGTATGTATGTATGAATGTATGTATGTATGTATGTATGTATGTATGTATGTATGTATGTATGTATGTATGTATGTATGTATATATTATGTGTGTATGTATGTATGCATGCATGTGCAAATATAACCATAGCGCAGCGGCCACGGGGCATCCTTCCGCGCGCATCGCGTTTCTCCAATCGGCGCTGGCATTGCGCAGGCAACCCCAAGTTGATGGTTTCCTTGGTCACCGCGTTTACGTGCCCCACTTGAGGCTCTGGTTGCCGCTCGCGTTAATAATGGCATCGAGGATTAACGTACGACCAACTTGATGCTCCGAACCTCCTGGTCGAGCTCGAAACCGTCCGTCTGCTTCGCCGCCGCGTTAACTTCTGAACCCATGGGTACAACGCCTGCCATATAACAATCATACAGCAATATCAGACTGAGGCCGCGGCTGCACGGCTGGCGCATCTGGTCGGTCCGTGGCCCCACTTCCATTCATGGCGTCAGCGACTTCTCGTGACATCTACAGCATGGGCGCCCCCGCTGTTCGTGCAGGCCGTGTGCCCATGCGGCGCAACATCTTGCCGCGAACGGGACTTCGCATAGCCGCCCATGGACATTGTGGAGCTAGAAATCATCACGCTGTGTCGCGTGGCTGTCAATCAGCAAGGCATCGACCTCGCCTGCGCCCAGCACCTTGAAAACCTCATCGAACATGTGGCGCGCGCGAGTCCTTCTTATGGCGCTGGTATCGTACACTGCTGGACTCTGCGAGCTCTAAGATCATCCAGTTTTTGAATACACGTTGTCTTTGCGCACGTGCCGCACACTGCGTGCACGCAAATCTGTGCGCCTCTGTGCGGGGCAGCGTTGAAGCCGCCGCCTCAGCGCACATGCCCGCACATGCTATTCATGTAAACGATCCATGCCCACGCGGTCGCTGGTCAGGAAAGCCTCATCATGCCCGCGTATGGGCGCGCAGCCATACTTCCGCATAAACCAAATTGGCAGGGACGCCCTCCCAGGCAACCCGGGCAAACCCTTGAAGATCAATACCACGAGAGAAAGAGCAAGTCAATGGCGGGCCAATGGGGGCCCGCGGGCGCCCCCCGAAAATCCCGGTTCCGCACGTGCCAAGCACATGCCGGCACAATATGTGCACAGCTCGCGGCGCCCGGTCGTGCATCCTTGAGTGGAAGATGAGGAGGAGGAGGAGGAAGAATGAGGAGGACGAGGAGGGGGACGGGGAGGACGGGGAGGAGGAAGAAGAGGAGGCGCAGCGTGAGGGAAGAAGTCAAAATCCCAACCACTCTACCCATCCTCCCTTCCCAGCCGCGCCTGCTCCACGATGGAGTCGAGGAAGGCTCGGCACAACAGATGCCGCTGACGCCTCCGCGTTGGGAGACGAGTGGCCAACCTCACGGCGTGAATTAACTGGTCGGCTTGGGACAGGGACAGGGACAGCGGAAACGCACTCTGATGGAACGCTAAACGATGCGCGTGGTACTACGCAACTACAAAGGCCAGAGAACCACCTCGAAGTCCAAGGAGGAAAAGGGGGTCCCTGGGGAGAAATGAATGCAGAGCCATGGAGGCGACATTCTGTAATCTACGGCAACTACATAAATAATGATTGACGTTGTCGGGAGCATCGCGCCCGAAAACGCACTGAGCATCAAGCCGGGCCATCCTGCGACTCGTGACCCACGATCCCAGCCAAGATCTGAAAGCAATCTGGGCCTACGCGGGGGGGCCAACTGCAGCAGCTCCATAGTGGCAGCCTCTGTCCCTTCCCAGTCGAAGGAAAGATCGAAGTGACGACGGACACGGACGAGGATGCGAGCGGGGAGGGAAGGGGTCGGGTACAGGGCAGCCTGGAAGCAGAGCTTAAACTTCCCCTCCCGCCGCGGTCTCCCTCTCGCTTCTCGGATCGCCGGGTCCCGAAACACGTGCAAGGCAGCCGTTCCGCCCTGGGTCAGAGCGCGCTGGAGGAGGCGAGAAGTGGGACAGGCGGGAACATCGAGGGAAGGAGGACGAGGGGGAAACCCAGGGAGGCCCACTCAAGGGTGCTAGCGATCGCCTCGGGCTGCCAAAGCTCGGGTGCGTGCCGTGGGGAGTGCCACCATGCCACGGGCCCGTATGAAACCGCGGCTGTCCGCAGGCGGGCGATCTGAGCCTGCCATGTCGAGAGTGTCGCCAAAGAGCACCGCATAAATGTGGCCGCATTCATGGAGAGAATACTGGGCAGACGAGGTAGCCCCCAAGACTGGAGTTCGAACCACTCGGGGTGCGAGACGATCGTGCACGGGGCGCGCAAAAGACGAGCAAATAACACCCTCTCACGCACAACCATGACCCGGGGCATAAAGAACAGTTGCGCTTTATATGAAAGCACGGATACCTATACGACCACCCTTCGGGTGATAAGGAGGTTGGGGGGGAGGAACCAACGTCTCACTCGATCAGCCTCACTATCGATCTCGCTATCGATCTCACTATCGGTCTCGCTCGATCGATGTCACTCGATCGATCACACAATCGATCTCGCTCGATCTATTTCATTCAATCGATCTCACTCGATCGATCGGACTATCGATCTCACTATCGATCTCACTACCGATCTCACAATCAATTTCACATTCGGCCTCACTATCGATCTCACTATCGATCTCACAATCAACGTCATCACAATCATCAACAACATCATCGACATCAACGTCATCAACATCATCATCATCATCACCGGGGCACCATCATCATCATCATCATCACCTCATCAACATCATCATCACCATCATCATCATCGGAACACCAGCCTCGTCACCATCATCATCATCATCAACATCATCATCATCGGGACACCATCATCATCGGAACACCACCACCACCATCATCATCATCATCTCATCATCATCATGAACAACATCATCTACATCATCATCATCATTGGGACGCCATCATCATAAGCAGCATCATCATCAACACCATCATCATCATCATCATCATCATCGGACACCATCATCGTCGTCACCATCATCATCACCATGATCATCATCGGAAAACCATCATCATCATCAACGTCAGCATCATCATCATCTCATCGGGCCACCATAATAAAAATCATCACCATCACCTCATCATCATCCTCATCACCATCGGGACACCATCATCGTCATCATCATCAACATAGTCATCATCATCATCATCATCATCATCATCATCATCATCATCATCGGGACACCATCATCATCACCATCATCATTAACAACATCATCATCAACATCATCATCATCAGCGGGACACCATCATAATCATCTTCATCATCAGCATCATTAGCATCTCATCATGATAAACATCATCATGATCATCAACATCAGCATCATCGTCATCGGGACAGCATCATCATCAGCAACATCATCATCAACATCATCACCATCGGGGCGCCATCATCATCACCATCAACATCATCATCACCATCAACATCATCGACATCATCATCATCATCATCATCATCATCATCATCATCATCGTCATCATCATCGGGACACCGACGGGACACCAGCGGGACACCGGCGGGACACCGCAGGCCACCGGCCCCCGGAAAAGAATCATTTGGTCCGGCCGCGCCTCAGCCGGCGGCTGGACACCGGCGGGACACCGCAGGCCACCAGCCCCTAGAAAGGAATCAGTTGGTCCGGCCGCGCCTCAGCCGGAGGAGACTTTCTTCTCGCACGCCCACGCAACTTCGCCTCGCCCGCACGCACGGCACGCACGAACACGAAACCGAAATCGATTTCCCGGTAGGGGGGCTCTCCGGTCCACTTCGATCTCACCCCCTCACCTCCGAAGGCACGCTGCACATAGAGCTCTACGCATCTGTCAAGGTGGGCTCCTGTGCCGGCAATCTCGACGGTTCTAGATAGCAGCTTCTGGGTGGGCCCCTCCCCTTGATCCAGAGAAGGCGCCGCGGGACCAAGCCAGACTCCTAAATAGACCAGCTTGCCGACGATGTTGAAGGCCGCCCAACCAGCATCGGCTTCAGAGAGAATGGCGCGGAGGGGGGCCGACGCCGACTCAAGAGGGCCATAGAGGGGGACAGCATTGCACTTCGAGGCTTTGAGTCTTAAATTCGCCAGCTTCCTGGCAAGCGCGAAGATACGGGCTAAAGCGAAAGATCCCCGCCGCCTCCACACCACAACCCCCATCATCAGCGCAGGCTCGAGTGCAACCACGTTTCTTGGCATCAACATGCTTGGTGATATCTTCGAGAAACGGGTTGATCGCAAAGATGAAAAGCGTGCCGCTTACAGGGCAGCCCTGCAAAACCCCTGAATGCATCCAATCAATGACGCGGCAAATGCTTCAACAGCGACGCAATGGGGAGAATGAGGGGGAGGAGGAGGAAGAAGAGGAGGAGGAGGAGGAGGAGGAGGGGCAAAGGACTGGGAGGAAAGGAAAGGCTGGGAGGGACGGGGGCCCTGGGAGAAAATTTGGAACTTTTTAGGGTCTCCGCCAATCGGCTAAAGTCGCCCAGCGGGCAGGAAACGCCACTTAGTGAAGAGAGCAGGCCTCCTCCTGTTTCTCTTCCTGGTTCTCGCCCTCCTCCTTTTCCTCCTCCTCCTGACGAGCTGAAGGCGTAACAGTCCGTCGGACGCCGCCCTCCCTTTTCCCCTCCTCCTTTTACTCCTCCTCCTCCTCCTCCTCCTCCTCCTCTTCCCCCTCCTCTTCCTTCCTTCTCATCCTCCTCCTCCTCTTCCTCCCCTTCCTCCTCCTCCTCCCCCTCATTCTCCCCATTGCGTCGCTGTTCAAGCATTTGCGGCGGCGCGTGGCCGTGCACCCTCTCGCGGCCACGAGCGGCGCCATGTGAGGGCACGTGCGGTCGTCCGCCACGGGGCGTGCGGCCATGTGCGGAGGTGCGAGTCGGGGGCAGGGGGGCTTGTGCGGCCTGCTATGCGCAGCTGTGCAAGCATGTGCCGCTGCGCGCGGCCCTGTGTATCCGCGGAGCCACGAACGGTGTTATGTGCGGGCATGTGCGGCGCCATGTGCGGGCATGCGCGGGCAGCGCCGGGGCCAGCAGCTGACGTCTGGGCACCTAGTGCATCGCTCGATGTATGTAACGCTGCTCATACATACTGCACAAAAGGCTCCCGCGCACGCCACGCACATGCGCGTACAGTCGCAGATAACGCTCAAATTTTGGGGCCGAACCAGAACAATGGTGGAAACAACTCAGACCACACGCCCACGCACATGGCCGCATATGTGCACACGCCACTATGTCATGACGCTACGATACCTAACAACATCCGCACATGCGGGGCACATGCCGCGCACATACCCCGACAACGAGCGCACATGATGAGCCAAAATCGCCCGCACACCTCGGAATGGTATTAAGACCGTGAGCCCTGTGTAGTGTTTCCATCCGCCTCGTCGGACTTTCCGATCCACGACACACCTTTAAGCAACGAAAGACTTGCTGACATCGGTCTCGCACGTCCACGCGCGGCGAAAAACCATTCCAGGGACCCCCCCAGGAAACTGCGAACCGCCCCGTTGGGACGTTGCGAGGTCGTTGCCGCGCCCTGGGGGGCCGCCAGCCAGCGAGGACGGTGGAACCCTCCCTGGTTGGCGTTGGCACGCTGCGTCAGTTCCTTCTTTCCTTCTGGCCGAGGATGAATCGCCTGGGTTCTGGCTGAACCCCGCCGTCGGCATGTGCCTGCCTACGACCCACAGGCTGGCTAGGGAGCGCATGATGCGGTTGCTGAGTGGCGAACTCCCTTGACTCCTCCAACGACATGACCGTGATCGTGCCCAGCCCGACGAAAGTATCCCCCGCCATTCAGCGTTGCTGGAGATCGCTTTGTCGTTCGGGCCCAGCTGCTCGTACATGGTTCCTTCGTGATGAGGCTTCTTCGCCAGCCACCAACTGCCAAGCAGTGGGCTGCAATTGTGTCATCGATCTATTGGTGTACTCGGCGGCAGGGTTGCCGAAGTGGCCGCCGGCGGCCACCCATACGGCGTCACAACACTCCTTGTTGACGAACTCGATTGGGCTGCAGGCGTTCCTCGGGGCTCGCGGCTGCTCCCCTTGGCCGACCAACGCGACAACCACGGGCTGGCTCCTCGCACAGAGCCTGGTCGCCGTGAAGCTGGCCCCCGAGTCTCGAGGAAAAGTCCAGATTCGTGAAGATTCGGGCGACGAGGAGGGGCGCTTTGGCTGCCCGTCGCTTCCCCTTCACTCCCCCCCTACCTTTTCGTCCTTTCTCATGTTTCCCTCCGCTGGGTCCCTGCACCGTGCCTAGCGCCCAGTTTCCCTCTCTCTTTGGTGCCCCTCTGTCTCCAACACCCCTCGCTGTCCGCATCTCTCCCGCCTTCCTTCGCAATCGAGACGACCAGGGAAGGCTGAATGGGGCCTGAGGCGAGACTGGAGGAGCAGATTCGCAAGCCGATCGTGTTCCAGCCCCCTGGGGCTGCTCGAGATTTCACGGGACGCCGCTACAAGAAAAACTGAACTACCCGCCGCTCGATTTCAAGGTGAACTGGCGGCGGGTTACCACCGACAGACACTTCCTTACTGGGTGCAGCCGGCCTGCGTTGTCTGCTTAGGCAGCACGTCGATTACAACACCCTGCTGCGCAGCTCTGCCCCGACCACCCCCCATGCGGGCCACCCTCCTGTATAGGAAGTGGGCCGTCTGGTGAGCTGTCTGTAAGAAACACCAGCTGCAAGAAAGCAAATAACCTACCCTCCGCCTGTTCTTCGAGATGGCGGTTGCGACGAAACGAACCTAGGTCTTGCTGCTGGGCTGAAGCCCTCAAATGGACGAATGTTTCAATCACCACTCTGACTTTTTGCCACAACGCAACAATCAGCGCCAGCGCAAGGTGGTGCCCGAATGACACTATGTTCCTCCTCCTCTTCCTCCTCCTCCTCCTCCTCCTCCTCCTCCTTCCTTGCGCTCCCTTCCCCTCCCTTCCTTCCCCTCCTTCTCCTCCTCCTCGCCCTTCTTATCACTATTCTCTGCCACCGTGCCTCCTGGCACGTTGGGGCGTGGTAAAATGCCACAAGAGCTGCCTGGCAAGGTTTCTGCAATCTTCTACGGTACCCCCACCTCCTCGGAAAGCGCCTCGCTGCGTGCACAGGCCGTGCTCCCGGGGTGTCCCTGGGCGGCCATGGCGCCTGCCTGGGGCTCTCCAAGGCTTCCATGACGGTCCAGGAGGCCCCCAAGTCCAAGAGGGCCCAGAGAGTCGCCGAATGATCGCTCGAAGACGCCCAAGATGGCGTCAAGATGGCGCGAAAGGCTTCCAAGGCGCCCCAAGAGGCCTCCAAGAGGTTTCCCACAAGGGACCCCAAGCATCATTGACTTTCCTCGCGATTTGGGAGGATTTGGGTGTTCTCGCCTTTTCGGTTTTCCGACTCTCCAAGACGGCCCGCGAGGCCCCCCAAACCACTCCAAAACTGCCCACGAGGCGCCCAAGACGGCCCCCAAACAGCCCCAACAGGGGCCCCAAAGAGGGAACACGAACCGAAAGTCCGAGCCTTCCTCCCCAATGGGGCCCCTTGAAGGCCCTAAGCGGCGCCAGAGAGGCTCCAAGAGGTCCCCGAAAAAGGCCCGCAAGAGGTCCCACGAGGCTCCCAAGAGGCCCCCAAACGACCCCAAACAGGCTTCAAAACTGCCTCCAAGAGGCCCCCGATGGGCCCCCCACGAGAATCCAGCGAACATCCACTAGGCTGATAACCTACAACCGAGGCACGATGGCGGGACTTGCCGTAGGCAGCTGGATTTGTCCACTCTCTTCTCAACCGTCCTCCCTCCACGTTCGACTCTCCATATACCGTCCAACACACACACGCGCACACATACATACATACATACATACATACATACATACAAACAAACATACATACATACATACACACATACATACATACGCACATCCATACATGCATGCACGCATGCATACATTACATACATCTATACATGCATACACGCAACAATACATACATATATGAATGCATGCATACATACATATACACATACACATATGCATGCATACCTGTATACATACATACATACACGCATACAAACATACATACATGCCTGCATACATACATACAAACATGCATGCACACATACGTACACGTATACATCCACATATATCACAAACATTACATACATTGTATGAATTACATTACATACATATATACATCCATACATACACACATACCTACACACATACATACATACATACATGCATACATAATACACACATATATACATACACATACATACATACGTACTCACTCACTCACAACACCAAACTGTCCAACGTTCCGAAAGTCAGATCTAAACGAAAGACGGAGAGGAACCTAGACGGTGCTCACCCAATGTGGGCGTTTTTTTCTATCGGCGCCGCTCACATGGTTGTGAGCGGCTCAGCGTGGAAACGGTGGGCCCGCAACCCAGCTCGCCTCGGGCCGCGAGCACGGCCTTTCCCGCGCCCCCGCCCTCGGCCCCGACCTCTCCCTCGCGCGGTGATCAGGGAAGATCGGGCACCACGAGACGGAGGAGGAGCAGGAGTGGACGGCATGGAGGCAGCAGCAGAGCTCGGGGGCGGGGGGCAGTAGGAGGTGGAATGGGGGTGGCCAATTTCCCTCTCGAGCCGTCCTCGAGCAGGAGTCGGCCTGGGCACACTCGGCGCGGCGGCTGTGCTCACATAGGCGGAAGCCTCATCATGCTGCGCTGCCGTCCTCGCCTCTGTGCCGCTGCTCCCTGTCGTCGTCGGTGCAGGAGTGGCAGTCGGTGCTGGCGTAGGCAGAGGCGTATGTGGGGGCGTGGATGTAAGCGAGGGTGTAGGGATAGCTGGCGACAGCGTGCCGATCCCCGTCGTTGCACTTGTCGCTTTCAAGCGCCGCATGAACTCGCGCGTAATGGTGATGCCGTCATCGTAATTGTCGGCAGCCCGTGCCCCAAACAGCAGCACCCCGTTGTTCAAAGCTCGCCCACCAGCGCGCCCATCCAAAGTGTCAGCTCGTCCTCCACGAATCCCGCCGGAGCTGGCCCCACGCACGCTTGCTTGTCGGCGTTGCGCAGTGCCGTCATCAAGCGCTGCCTGATCTCGTAGCCCCTACAATTGAAAAGGATATTCGCCTGGCCGCTCTTGTACGCCTTGTCGAGCTTGCATATCGGGAAGCTGTCCTGCACCTGGTGCTGGTCCATTGCGTTGATGCGCTCGATGGTCGTGGTGAGATCTCCCTTGCTCTTCGCTCCAATGTCTTGCTGGGTCAGCGCTTCCATCATCGCCATCGCGGCTCCTGGTGCTGGCGGGCCTCTTCCATGTGATTCTCCTTCGCGGCGTATGGCACGAGCGTGGTTGCGGTTCTCCTGCTCGATCGCTTCCACCAGTGGGTCCGTGTCGCTGATCTTGACTGCCGTGATGATGCGCCCCTTGAGCTCTCTGATCTGCTTCGTGTTCTGGTAGGTCGCTCGCACGATGGTGGTGAGCAGCTCGCGCATGTCGTTCGGTATCTTGGGCGCCACCTTCGGCTTGTACGCTGCTCTTCGTCGGCGGCGTACTCTGGCGAGGGGGGCCTTCTTGGGGTCGATCTTCTGGTCGTCGAGCTCCGCGTCCTGGTCCTCTGGCTTCTTTCGGGCTTCCTGTCCTCGGCCTTGGCTCCGCGATCGGTCTCCTGGCTTGGTCCTGGCCCCGTTGGGGCCACCGCTGCCAGACGTGGGGGAGGGCCCCCGTGGGGCACGCCATCTCGGTCTCTGCGGTGCTGTCGCTGCTGGTGGGAGCCCCGAGCCTGTGGACATCTCGCGCTGGCGGGTCAATGGGCCGTGGCGGTAGAGAAAGCGCGTGAGTGCCCAAGACGTCCTGGGGTAAATGATCGCGGAGGTGCCTTCGGAGCTCGGTGCAATCGTCGTAGGGTTCCTGGCAGATCGGGCAGGTGAGGCTCTTCGGGGCCACGAGGGGATAAAGGGGCCCAAGTCTGGTCGAGTTTACACGATCGTGATTTCCATGCTGCGGTTATATGATGTTGCGCGCCCACTCGTGTCGGAAATTTCGCATTACATATGACGCACTCGTTCGTAAGCGTGAGCTGTGATAGCATGCAGCACATGCCATGTTCGCCTCCAAGAGCCATTCCCCGTTGGTGTGCATATAGTGCTCGTGCGGTCTGCCAGGTGCTCATGCATGGGGTCCCTTCAAATGTTTTCAGCGCGCAGACGAACTGTTCGGCCTCCTCCGAAGGAGCGAGCTCAGACGGGAGCTCGGCGGAGGCACCAGGCGGCGCGATAGCGCACCGAAGATAGGCAACCCTCATGAAACTCACGTCAATCCCACAGAAAGCGCCAGCGATCTCCGCGTCAGTGAAAAGCGCGGCGATGCTGCCCTTCCAATCGAGTAAGTCCAAGGGTTCGGCAATGTCGTAGGTGAGGAGGTCCTGGATGTCGGTGGCGAACTGCCTGGCGGTCGGGCGTGCGTCGGGGCTGATGTAGCCGTCGTCGGTCAAAGTGCGCGGCACGGCGGGTAGGTCGTTGTCGCGCAGGAGGCTCTCGATGCGGAGTTCTCCGAACAGAGCAGAAACGCGCTGTTGGGAGTCTTCGGGGTGTGCAGCAGCCCCTTGAAGTAGTTCCAGACGTCGTACTTTAAGTTCGGTTGAGCTCGGAACGATGTCCCATCGGCGCCACACCTCAGCTGCGGAAATCGCCTTGTGGTGCGAGTCGCGGTGCTGGTGGCAGCCCTTTCCCTGTAACATGGCCCGCAGCTTCTTGCCTAAGCAGGTGTCCAGCTTCTTGTAGTCCGTATCGTAGAGGTAGTAGGTTTCGGCGGGGCTGATGGCGGCTTCATAAACGACTGCCTGGAAGACGGAACGCTTCAGTCGGCGTGGGGCTCGGCTGAACCAGAAGTGGCGGTACTGGCACCATCCTGCATTGGCAGCACGTAGTCGGGCTTCGCGTACTCCATTGAATGTTGCTTTGGCGTCGAACATGCCTCCCACGTGTTTCATCGCTGTCAGTCGTCGGCAGTTGATGCGGGGATCGGTGAAGAAGGCGCGGTGGAGGTACTTCGAGGGGATGCAGTGGGCGATCTCTTCCTTAGTCTCGTTCAGACTGAAGCCCCCCTGGTGGAGTGAGTGGCGTAGGGCGTCGAGGTTGCGCTCAATGGTGGCGGTCAGGGCGTGGAGTTTGTCGATGCTGGCGTCGCGGAGCTGGCCGTTGGAGTCCATGGCTTGTTTGCGCGGCCCGACTCGGGGTGCGATGTGGAACTTCAATATGTCGTCCACGAAGACCTGACGGCTGAGATCCTGCACTGGTCCTTCTGGATCCCATGTTGAAGCGCATGGTTGGAGCATGATGCTGGTGTGGGTGGCGGCTGCGTCGGCGCGCCACTGCTCGAGCTGGTGGTTGTGCACCTTCATGAAGGCGTCGGGCTCGTTCGAGCCCCCCCATGAGTCCTCCCTCGCGGTTGCGCATGAGGAGGGTGCCGTCGCTGGCGTCGATGATGGTCTGTGACTCCGTGCGTCGTTGTAGGATGAGTTGGCGGTCGCCGCCACGAATGGTCGGGATGACGTGTTCGTTGATGGCGTCGTGGTGGGTGCACCCGAAAGCGTTGCGGCCGTCGTGGGAACGCACTGCGCAGTCGCCCGTCGGAGCTTGCTGGCTACCACTCGGGTGGCTATCATGCCGAACTCTCGTCGTCGATGCGGGATGCCGCCGTGCGCGTAGTCGGGTGGCCTAGTCCGAAATCCTTTCTCGCGGAGGTAGCGGAAGAAGCATCGCCAGAAGACGTCGAAGCAGTGGATGAGGCGTAGCCCCAGGGGCCCGAGGAGCATTGCCCTCGTCGAGTTGGAAGCTCTGGGACGTGTTGGCCTGCATGGGGGCGCGGTTATGCTGTCGGGCGTGGGCCAGGCATCCAATCAGTCGTGATTTACCCAGTCGGCATTCGCGTGGTAGTTGGACCTTTCTCTTGGATGGGGTCCTCGGAGCCGTCGGGGGCGTTCGGCGCGCCTAGTCCTCCTTGGGGTCGTCCAGGGCGTCGGAGTATTTCAGGTTGTAAGGCCACAAGTAAGATCTCGGCGGGAACCGAAAAGGTGGGGGCGTACTTCCTGCGCTTGGCCTTGCTCAGCAGCTTGGTGACGGCCGCGAGCTCCTCGGTGGCTTCGATGACGTAATTGGGCTGAAGTGGGGATGGGCGTGATGTGGTGGTGCTGGTAGCGGTCGTGGCTGCTGTGGGCGGTGCCGGTGGTGGTGACTCGGTCGGGGGCTCGTCGTCGTTGGCCTGGTTGTCGTGCTCTTGGTTTAGCATGGTGTCGAAGTCGAGCTCAGCGCAATTGAGGAGTGGGGCGTGGTCGGTGCTGGTCGTCGCGGTCGTGGTGGGAGGTGCTGGCGTGGGCGTCGGGGGCCTCCTAGATGTCGAGGTGGTGGGTGCGGGCTGCTCGCGCGAGGGCACAAGGTCCTCGCGCGTCGGGAGAGTGACAGGAGCAGGGATCGCCAGTAATCCTCCTTCTGCGCCTGGCCGTTGGAGAAAGTGTTGCCGTTGGTCCATGCTCGGGCGGGAGCTCGGGGGGATGCCGTAGCAGCGTTTGCGGGCCCGCAGCTTGTAGCGCAGCATGTTCTTGGTGACGCGGTGGCACTCGGCGAGGCGGCGCATTCTCCAAGCTTGCAAGAGTTCGTCGCACTGCATTTCCTGGTACTTGTGGCTGGTGTCCTTCATGTGGCGTCGGAGTTGCTTGCTCAGGTCATGGATGGTGTCGTCGAGCTGCCGAAGTTGGTCGTCATCAGCGTCGGCGCGCTCGCCCTGTGCATGCAGGCGTTGTCGCAGTAGGGCGCGTTCCTTAAGCAGATGGAGTTTGCAATCACGAGCTTCACGATACCAAGCAGGGCGTTGGTGGGCGACTGCGAAATGTTCGAGGGCGGCGTCGCGGAAGCACTGCATTGTGAGGCCCCAGTGGTAGGTGCCGTCGTCGTAGGTGAGGTACTCGTCCAGCAGGTCGGCGTGAGTGCTCAGGTGGGTCTCTAAGCTTTCTAGGAACTCAATTCTCTAATGGCCTTCCTTCAGTCCCAGTGCGATGGCGTCGCGGTCCAAGGTCTGGTAGGCGTTTGTGGGCGAGTGGCAGGCTGGTGGGGCCTCGAGCTTGATGATCAGCGGCTTGCGGTCTTTGAACTTTCGCGAAAGCTGAAGTGCGTGGGCCGCATGGTTCCACACTCGGCACTGGAGGATGCGAGAGATCAGGCCCGTGGGGATGAAGATTCCGTGACCGATGGGTGGCGTCCGTCGTAGGTGGGGCCCGTGTCGTAATACGTGTTCGCGGCTGCCATGTACGTGTTCGCCAGCGTGTGGTGGTAGGTCTTGCCTGCCTCTCCTTCTCTGCCCGTCGGGTAGGGGCCAGCGGTCTCGCCGCCGTCGCGCCCTGCTGCGAATCGGTCGTTGAGGTCCATCATCGCGGTCGGTGTGAAGCGAGACGGCGTGTTCATGATCTCGAGCTTGACCCACTGAGCAACCTTCATCATGGCGCCGCGCCACTGCGGTATCTTCTCGCGGTCCCGCGGCGCGGGCGGCGAGTAGGCGGTAATGATCTTCAACTTCGTGATGCCTTGTTCGATGGTGATGGCGCCTCCTCGGCCGTGCAGTTCTGGCGGCGGCGTGGCGATGTCTTTGACGTGCTTCTCTTTGAACCTGCGGCCGAGGGGGGTGCTGTAGCCCGCGGAGTTGTTCACGTGCATGCTGGGGCGTCCGTAGCCGAAGTGGATGGCCATGTGGCGCGCGTGCCGCTGGACATGGCGGGGGCTGCGCGGGTGCTTCGGGATCTTCGTGCCAAGGCAACCCACGATCTGGATCTGGCGTAGCTGGGCGGAAACCTCCTCACCACGGGTGCCCGTCAAGCTGAAAAAGGTTGAACACCGCGAGCGATAAGAACGTGGCGCGTGCAGCGCCCATCATGCGCCTGAGGGAGCACATCGGAGCGGCGCCTGATCTGCGTGGGCAGGCATCCCGCGCCTGCGCGGCGCCTCCACCAGCCCCGCGGAAACCGCTCGAGCCGAGAGGGGCTTATACATACATACATACATACATACATACATACGTATATATAGATACCAAGGGAAAAGCAGGGAGGGAGCGAGAGAGAGAGAGAGAGAGAGAGAGAGCGAGAACACAAAACATAGATAACTAACTATAATATATACATTTACATACTGTAATCATTTGCGCAGCGCGACACATGATGGCTGCGAGCCTCATTATGGCTCGTCCTCGTCCTCGTGGACGCTCTTGTCGTCATCGCCATCGCAAGTTCTTATGCTCTGGAAAAGCGTTTCGGAGAACGTGACATGGGGTTGGCGGACATCCCCAGCATCAGCATCACCATCATCATCACCAGCATGAACAGAAGCATCACCATCGCCGCCATCATCGCAGTCGTCATGAGCATCGTGATTGCACGCGCTCCGAAAAAAAGAAAAAACGTGGTGCTCATGTGCATGGCCGGCATCACCAATCACATCAGAATAATCATCATATTCTGGTCATCGTAATGTGCATCATCCTCATGCTCACAAGTGCCAGTGTAATGCTCATCCTCGCACGCGTCATCGTCATCGCCATCGTCATCGCCATCGTAAATTAACGTGCTCTGGAGAAGCGTTTCTGGAACACGCGAAATGGGTGCTGGAGAGCACGTCCACCATCATCATCATCATCATCATCACTACCATCATCGTTCGTAAGCATCACCAACATCACCATCATGATATTATTCCCAACCATCTTGTGGTGTTGGGTCCTCGTTTTGAAGAGACGGTGCCCCGCGTTCCTCTCCTCTCCTCTCCTCTCCTCTCCTCTCCTCTCCTCTCCTCTCCTCTCCTCTCCTCTCCTCTCTCTCCCTCTCCTCCCCTCCTCTCCTCCTCTCCTCTTCACCCACCCAGTACACCGTTTCGTGGCTCCATAGGGAGCCCACCGAAGGCCCCAGTGCCCGCGCCCGCATGCGTCACCCACACCCATTTCGGCACACCCCTCACACGTTTCGTGGCTCCATAGGGAGCTCCACCGAAGGCCCCAGTGCCCGCGCCCGCATGCGTCACCCACACCCATTTCGGCACACCCCTCACACGTTTCGTGGCTCCATAGGGAGCTCCACCGAAGGCCCCAGTGCCCGCGCCCGCATGCGTCACCCACACCCATTTCGGCACACCCCTCACACGTTTCGTGGCTCCATAGGGAGCTCCACCGAAGGCCCCAGTGCCCGCGCCCGCATGCGTCACCCATTTCGGCACACCCACCATAGGAGCTCCACCGAAGGCCCCAGTGCCCGCGCCCGCATGCGTCCCACACCCATTTCGGCACACCCCTCACACGTTTCGTGGCTCCATAGGGAGCTCCACCGAAGGCCCCAGTGCCCGCGCCCGCATGCGTCACCCACACCCATTTCGGCACACCCCTCACACGTTTCGTGGCTCCATAGGGAGCTCCACCGAAGGCCCCAGTGCCCGCGCCCGCATGCGTCACCCACACCCATTTCGGCACACCCCTCACACGTTTCGTGGCTCCATAGGGAACTCCACCGAAGGCCCCAGTGCTGCCGCCCGCATGCGTCACCCACATCCAATTCGGCACACCCCTCACACGTTTCGTGGCCCCATAGGAGCTCCGCCGAAGGCCCCAGTGCTGCCGCCTGCATGCGTCACCCACACCCAATTCGGCACACCCCTCACACGTTTCGTGGCCCCATAGGGAGCTCCACCGAAGGCCCCAGTGCTGCCGCCCGCATGCGTCACGCACACCCAATTCGGCACACCCCTCACACGTTTCGTGGCCCCATAGGGAGCTCCACCGAAGGCCCCAGTGCTGCCGCCCGCATGCGTCACGCACACCCAATTCGGCACACCCCTCACACGTTTCGTGGCCCCATAGGGAGCTCCACCGAAGGCCCCAGTGCTGCCGCCCGCATGCGTCCAATTCGGCACACCCCCACGGTTCCGGGGTTCCCCATGTGCTGCCGCCCGCATCCGTCCCCGGCACACCCAATTCGCCCTCACACGTTTCGTGGCCCCATAGGGAGCCCCACCGAAGGCCCCAGTGCTGCCGCCCGCATGCGTCACCCACACCCAATTCGGCACACCCCTCACAGTTTCGTGGATGCGTCACGCACACCCAATTCGGCACACCCCTCACACGTTTCGTGGCCCCATAGGGAGCCCCACCGAAGGCCCCAGTGCTGCCGCCCGCATGCGTCACGCACGCCCAATTCGGCACACCCCTCACACGTTTCGTGGCCCCATAGGGAGCCCCACCGAAGGCCCCAGTGCTGCCGCTCGCATGCGTCACGCACACCCAATTCGGCACACCCCTCACACGTTTCGTGGCCCCTTAAGGGAACCCCACCGAAGGCCACAGTGCTGCCGCCCGCATCCGTCACGCACACCCAATTCGGCACACCCCTCACACGTTTCGTGGCCC